AGTACGCGGAGTATCTGGGGAGCTGGAAGATGAGAACTGGCGACTTTCTAGTGCAACTCTAGTACGCGGAGCAAGCTGTGGAGCTGGAAGCTGAGAACTGGCGACTTTGTAGTACAACTTTAGTACGCGGATGAGTCATCTCTCGCTGCTGAGTCATCTCTCGCGGCTGCCCTGGTGCCCCTGCAGCTGAGTCATGTCTCCCGACCACCCGGCTCTCTTGAGAGGTTGACAAATTTTGGCTACTTTGCTTACTCATAAGTGGCTGCCACAAAAGAGTCATCGTGATGTTAGTACGTGTGTACTTCACCTTCATGACAAACGATGTTCGCTTGGAATACACGAGTCGCTTGTCATGATCGTGACGTCGTTTACTCTCAGGTCGCAATGTTCGTGGAAACTTCAGTGTGAAATGTACGTTCTTCAGTTCTATTTGAACCTCTTCAGCGTTGTACTTGCACAACTAAGGTTGACATTGCACTGCCGTTGCATCGACGCATCTACGTCTACACCCCCTCACCTCTCTACATTTACATCTTCACACGCTCACATCCGCAGATCTACCTCTCCACCTCACCACACCCACACATCTGCACATCTATATCACATCTGTACATCCACACTGTCGCTCCTTCACATCTGTCCTGTCTTTCTTTCTTTCCACAGTACATATCTTTTCTCTCGTCTCTGTGCATTTACATCTTCGCACGCTCACATCCACAGATCTACCTCTCCACCTCCATACATCTACAGATCCATATTGCACCTGCACATCACACTGTCACTCCTTCACATCCACCCTCTCTTTCTCTCTTTCTATACATCTTTTCGACAGTGCTGGACAATTACATGTCTCGCTCTCGGGCCAACCGTCGTCTAGTTTTGTTGATATCAGCAACTCAATCTTGCCAAACAAACAAGCTGCATAGATCATAAGCATCTTCTCGGCCTCAGCTCTTCTTGGCCCGGTCAAGCACCTTTTCCGTGGCAGCATTGGAACAAAACCCGGTTTCACCAAGTGGAAGGCATCGATTGTTTCTCTTTTTCTGGCCTCTTCGAAATCCCATACACTCCGCACGCTACAGTGCTACAGGCTGCAACAAGTCTCCAAATTCAGTCTAATTGTCCCCAGAAAACAATCTAGTCAAGAAAGGACATTGGACAGTTTAATTAAGGGCTTGACATGACAGTTAACCTGACAAACGAACAAGAAACTAACATGTCAAGCCCCCCTAGTTGAAGATATTGATCACTTTGAACGTCAAGAAAAGACACTGGACCACCACCAAGCCTGCTCTTTTACCAGCCCTGAACCACTATACATTACCTTGGCTGGTGGATCTGCAGGCCCGGACCAGATCTTCTCGAAAGCATTCGCTCCTCGCTGGTGCGTTGTTGTGAAAACCAACCGCTGGGAATCTGGGAATCCATCAACTATAGGTTTTCAGAACAACTCATTGACTCATCAGTCAACTACTGAATGCAAGTAAGATATTTTTTTTGTGAGTCAACTATTTCATCCGTGGGAATCCATCCTCTTAAGGTGTGCTCCAGAGGCAGTGCACCTGCTACCAGGCCAAAGGAAGTCCTGATGTTGATTTCACTGGGCTGTAGGGACTGAATTTGGGAGTTTGGGGAGTGACATATTCTAGCCCCCTCTGCACCATGCACGGAAGCGAGTTGTAAGTGGTTTGGTTGGACCCACCCTGATTTTAGTCTGGAACACCATAATAATAGAATCGCTTGAATCCGTTTGATTTGTCCGGGAATTTTAGTCTGGCTGAAAGCCCCAATTGGAAAACCCTAATTTTAGTATGGCTGCCCACATGTTTGCCGTTTTGCAGCTTCCATCCACCCCAGAGCCACCAAGGGCAAAGCAGAATCATCCACCAAACCCTTCCTGCATGCCTAGTTGCGCTGAGATCCATAGAGCAGTTGGGGTCTTCCAGCATCAACCCATGGCGGATCGGCGTACATCGATGTACTCCGAGCCAGGCGGACGAGAGCTGATGCATGATGTTGCTGGAATGAACAGCGTGAGATGAGACGAACCATATGGTGTTTGGGGGGGGCGGTGAACCCAATGGAAAACACTGTAGCTCTTCCAAGATGTTGTGAACACATGTGCACACCAGTTCTGCCAAATTGCAAGGGACGTGATTATGGAGCACATCGAATCCAACTAGCTCTTGCTTAAACAATTTATTCAATTAGTATAGGGGCAAAATGGTTACTCTCTAAATGACTGCCTCCAATTCCCCAAGTGCAAAATCATACCCTTCTGCTTCCTCCGAAAAACGCGGACACCCTTTCAACCAGCGCGGCATTCGTGCTCGACCAGGGTGGCTCCCCATGCGTCCGGGGGGAAGCTCCGCGGGTGTTCTGAGCTGCCCCGGTGGCACCATCGAACGCAGGGTGTGGAGCTGGTTCTCGTGAAGCAATCGTGTTTTTTGGAGCTTTGAAAAGGAATGAAAAGGAAAACCGCAGCAGGAAGATTCACCCTAAACACGGCTTAGAATGGGGATTGTAGGTGTTCATTGAAAGAGTGTCCACACGTGTCAGAAAAAGCTGATCCAAAACCAAGCCTGTCGCATGTTCTGTTACACCCGGGAAGAACATAAATGGAACCTGAATATGATGGACATTTGGAAGACTACTTTCCTCTACAACCCAGTGGTATTCAGGTTCCATGCGGGTCTCTTGCAGGGTGTGTTTTCAGTTGCTCCTTTTCATCTCTGGGGACCTCCGTTTTCTGACGCCACGGGCGTCAGCTGACTGTGTTCATCTGGTGAA